TGAAGTCATCTCATACTGGCTGGGAATTCTGGGAATTGAAGTCAATATATACTGACTGGGGAATTCTGGGAGTTGAAATGCATACATACTAACTGGGGAATTCTGGGAATTGAAGTCAATATATACTGACTGGGGAATTCTGGGAGTTGAAATGCATACATATTAACTGGGGAATTCTGGGAATTGAAGTCATCTCATACTGGCTGGGGAATTCTACAAACTAAAGTCCAAATATATTGGCTGGGGAGTTTTGGGAATTCACATATCTTAAAGGTGAACTTGAATTCCACACCTCTTCAGTTTGTTTTCAAATTGAAAACAACCCTACTATTAGATGGTCATCATGGCTCCAAGATCAGAAGCAACAGCTGCATCGCAACTCACTTTTGCAAACACGATGGAGCCACGTGCAATGCTGTGGCACATGGGTTTTATTGATACACTCATATTTCTCTTTGGGGGGGGTGCTCTCTGAGTTTGGTGCGTTTTCTTGCAGACGTTTCATGACCCAACTAGGGAACGCCATCAGTGCTTAGTGGGGTTTTGCTCTTGATGTATATTCGAGTGGCTCGCTCTAATGCAGGGGTCTCCAACCTTGGCGACTTGAAGACTGGTGGACTTCAACTCCCAGAGCTGGCTGAGGAACTCTGGGAGTTGAAGTCCACCAGTCTTCAAGTCGCCAAGGTTGGAGACCGCTGCACTTTATATCCATATACTGTGCAAAAGAGACGATCGAAGAGCCAAAAAGGAAACTAAAAAGACCAGAAGGCACCTCCTCACCAGCAATCAGCACCGAGATGAGCGTAGATTAACTTCAAGATTAACATCAGGCTAACAATCAAAAAGTAAGCCATACCCCCAATCAAGGAACTGGCAGACAAATTAATATTAAACATGGACGTGCTCAGCTGCAGATGAGGAGCAGCTGGAGGCCACGATTCGTCCTTGTGACTCATGGCCATCTAATGCCCCTGGTCTTCAGAGAAGGTTTTCACTCGCTTGGAGGGTTCGGGCATCTGCGCTGGCACCCCCCATCCTGCAAGGAAAGGCTCCGGATTGCTGCCTTGCCCTCCTCACCCCCAGGGACCAGGCTCCAGCCTCCCCCTCTCCAATTTGCAGCCGCAGAACAGGTCAAGGGTGGTGCAGGCAGGCTGAGCCCCAGCCCGAAGGAAGAATGCCCGGCATGGGGTGGACGTGCCAAGCACAAAATAAACCCACGTTCCTTGCCACCCCCTCTCGGCACCCTAAATATAGAAGCCGAAGCAACAAACAGCCTGCCAGAGGAACCTGGGCTGAGTCTCTCTGTTGTGAATGGAATATACACACAACTGGCAGGAGAGCAAAACTATGCGGCATTTCGGGGTGTGTCACAGAAAGGGAGGGGGAAGAGAGGGAAAGAGAGAAAGAGAAAGAAAGAGAGAGAAAGAGAGAGAGAGAGAGAAAGAAAAAGAGAGAGAGAGGAAGAGAGAGGGAGAGAGGAGGAAGAAAAAGAGAAAGAAAAAGAAAGAAGGGAGAAAGAGAGAGGGAAAGAGGGAAAGAGACAGATACAGAGAGAGAAAGAGAGGAGGAAGAAAAAGAGAGAGGGAAAGAGAAGGAAAGAGAAATAGAGAGAGAGAGAAAGAAGGGAGAGAGAAGGAAACGGGAAACAGAAAAAAGAGAGGGAGACACAAAGGGATGGGGAAGAGAAAGAGGGAGAAAGAGAGAGAAAGGGAAAGAGAAAAGAGAGGGGGGAAGGAAGGAAAGAAAGAGAGAGAGAGAAAGAGAGAAAAAAGAAAAAGAGAGGAAGAGAGGAGGAAGAGAAAGAAAAACAAAAAGGAAAGAAAAAGAAAGAAGGGAGGAAAAGAGAGGAAAAAAGTATGAAAGAGAGAGATAGATACAGAGAAAGAAAAAGAGTGGAGGATGAAAAAGAGAGAGAAAAAGAGGGAAAGAGAAATAGAGAGAGAGAGAAAGAAGGGAGAGAGAAAGAAAGGGAAAAGGGAAACAAAAAAGAGAAGAAGAGGGGGAGGGAGAGAGAGAGAAGAATAGGGAAGAGAAAGAGGGAGAGAGAAAGAGAGAGAAAGGGAAAGAGAAAAAACAGAGAAAAGAGAGGGGGGAAGGAAGGAAGGAGGAAGGAAGGAAAGAAAGAAAGAGAGAGAGAGAGAGAGAGAGAGAAAAGGCAGGAAGGCAAGAAGGAAGGAAGGGAAATGGAGGAGGAGGAGGAAGGAAAAGAGAAGAGTGATGAGGGAAGGAAGAAAATGGAAAGGGAGGAAAGGAGTGAGGGAGTGAGTGAGAAAGGAAGGAGGCAGGGGGGAAGCAAATAGCAGGGAGAATAGAAGAAGGAAGGGAAGAAAGAAAGAGGGAGAGGGGAAGGAAGAAAGGAAGGAAGAAAAGGAAGGAAGGAAGGAAGGAAGGAAGGAAGGAAGGAAGGAAGGAAGGAAGGAAGGAAGGAAGGAAAAGAGAGAGCATTTCATTTCGGAGATTAAAATTGGTCCAAGGCCTTAGAAAGAAAACTTTGCGTCCAACACTTCAAATGGGGAACCAGGAAGATTTGCCAAAAAGGGATTTTGACCACAATTTCTTCGCCCCCCCCCCAAAGATCTCACCTCCCCCCTTTGAGAGGCTTCTAATACGTCTTTCAGCTCCTCCTCCTCTTCATTCCATCCTGCACAGTCCTAAGACCCTCCCCAACGCCCCAGCCGTGAGTTTGCAGGCCACGAACTCACTTAACAACTGTCTTGCTTAGCAACGGAAATGTTGGCCTGCCCTGGGGTCGTAAATCAAGGACCACCTGCATAGGAAGAGAAGCCGGGGTCCCCGGGACATTAGCAGGAGGAATACAGTAGCAACTTTCCCCCCTCCCCCGAAAAAATATAAATTTTCATCGAAGTGCCTGGGGACGATGGGTTTTGAACGCCACGCGCACTGCCACTCTCCTGCAGCTGGGAAACAGCTGTTTGCAGAGGGAGCTCTGATGACTTAAGCCAGAGTCTGGGCGAACAAAGGGGTCTCTATCAAGAGAAGACCCCCCTGGCCGAACAGCTGAAATCACAGCCCCCAACCCAACCCTCATCCCTTTCTCTGCTCGGGTGAAAAGCGCTCCGAAAACTGAAAACATGTTCTATGTTTCTACAGGTAGTCCTCGACTTACGACCACCATCGACCCTCAAACGTACGTTTGTTGTTAAGCGAGACATTGCTTAAGTGAACGTACGACCTTCCTTGTCACCGTTAAGGGAATCCCAGTGCGGTTGGCGGGTTGGTCGTTAAGTGTATCTGACTTCCCCCTTTACTTCGAGGGTCGCAAAAGGGGATCAGGTGACACCCCCTCCCCCCAGGACACTGCAACCGTCATAAATATGAGTCAGGGGCCAAGCGTCTGAATTTGGATCATGCGAACCTGGGGATGCAACAAGGGTTGTAAGTGTGGAAAACGGTCATAAGTGTGAAAAAATAGTTATGTGAAAAATGGCCATAAGTGTGTAAAAATAGTCGTAAGTGTGAAAAAATGGCCATAAGTGTGAAAAAATAGTTATGTGAAAAATGGCCATAAGTGTGTAAAAATAGTCATAAGTGTGAAAAAATGGTCATAAGTGTGAAAAAATAGTTATGTGAAAAATGGCCATAAGTGTGTAAAAATGGTTGTAAGTGTGAAAAAATGGTCATAAGTGTGAAAAAATAGTTGTGTGAAAAATGGTCATAAGTGTGAAAAAATGGTCATAGGTGTGAAAAATGGTCATAAGTGTGAAAAATGGTTGTAAGTGTGAAAAAATGGTGGAAAAGTTCCTTTTTTCAGTGCTGCTGTAACTTCGGTCGGTCATTCAATGAACTGTTGTAAGCCAAGGACTGCCTCTATTTCTTTTCTGTTCCTTTTTTGGGGCAGAACGACCCTCTAAAAGGATGCAAGTGACCCGCTGTCTGCAAGGAGTCTCAATCCTTCCATTCCCCAACATCCGGTCAGAGTTGAAGAAGCTTCTTGGATGAGAAGCGAAATGTCTTCAAAAGAAAAAAACAAGGAAGTCCAGGTGCCTCCTGAAAAAAGCACCTTTGGGACGACGGTGACCTGGATGACGGAGAATCTCTACAGACACCCAAAAAAAAGAGCCTTGGTGGTGCAACAGACTAAACTGCTGCTGTTAAAAGTAGCACTTAGCTGCCAGCTGCCTGCAATTACTGCTGGTTCGAATCTCTCCAAGGCTCAAGGTTGACTCAGCCTTCCATCCTTTCTAAGGTAGGTAAATTGAGGACCCAGTTTGTGGGGGCAATAAGCTGATTTTGTATAAATATACAAAAAGGATGAAGGCTGTTGCTTAACGCATTGTAAGCCGCCCTGAGTCTCCGGAGAAGGGCGGCATATAAATCGAACTAATAGATAGATAGATAGATAGATAGATAGATAGATAGATAGATAGATAGGATAGATAAGAGCCTTGGTGGCACAGCGGACTAAAGTGCTGTTATGTAGCACTTAGTTGCCAGCTGTCTGCAATTAAAGTAAGTTCGAATCTCGCCAGGCTCAAGGCTGACTCAGCCTTCCATCCTTTCTAAGGTAGGTAAATTGAGGACCCAGTTTGTGGGGGCAATAAGCTGACTTTGTATGAATATACAAAAGGATGAAGGCTATTGCTTAACGCACTGTAAGCCGCCATGAGTCTCAGGAGAAAGAGCGGCATGTAAATCGAACCAATCAATCAATCAATCAATCAATAAATCAAGAAAAAAAAGAGCCTTGGTAGTACAGTGGTCTAAAGCACCCTGTTATTAAGACCAGCTGCCTGCAATTACTGCAGGTTCGAATCTCGCCAGGCTCAAGGTTGACTCAGCCTTCCATCCTTTCTAAGGTAGGTGAAATGAGGACCCAGTTTGTGGGGGCAATAAGCTGACTTTGTATAAATATACAAAAGTATGAAGGCTCTTGCTTAGCGCATTGTAAGCCGCCCTGAGTCTCCGGAGAAGGGCGGCATATAAATCAAATTAAAAAAAAAAAAAATGCTCGAGCACAAATGATCCAAGCCAATCTTTACCTTTTCTGCCCCTTCAACCGATCGTCGGCTCCGTCCTCCGTCGGAAATCCAGCGGGGAGTGACAGATTCTCCTTGGGGTGGCCATTCTAAAAAATTAACCAAAATAATAAGAATAATGATGATTACAAAATGGAGGAACGGGAAACCAATCTGCAAACCACCCCCGCCACCCCAAAAAAAAGAGGAAGAAGAGGAACAACCCTAAAATAAAATTTTGATTTATTTTTTTTTTTTAAAAAAAGGTCAATCAGAGTAGAGGTGGAAGGGACCTTGGAGGTCTTCTAGCCCAACCCAATTAAAGACGAGCATTTTCCCAGAGATGGCAAAGTCGATGGCCAGAGATCTGATCCGCATGGCTGTTCCTGGACGGTGGAGAACCTCCTCGGTTCCATTCAGATGGAGGAGGACCTGCAGCCTTTGAGAAGCGGTGAATTAAAATCTGGGGAAGATGGGATGCCCACGTCATGGCTGCGTTCCCACAGCCCCCTCAACTCCAGACCAGGGGGGCTGTGTTAATGGGATCAAACCTGGGTCACCATGTCGTATGAACGCAGCTCTGATTGGCAGCAGGTATCGGGGAAGTTCTGGGAGGACTTGATAGGTCAAACGCAGCTACAGACGGATTGTGATGAAACCTGGGTCAAGCATGTTGTGGGAACTCGGCTCTAACATGGAGTGAGTTTTCGGGATGTACTGTCCTGGGTGGTCCTGACAGGTAAAGCTCAGCTAAATAATAGAGTAGAGTAGAGTAGAGTAGAGTAGAGTAGAGTAGAGTAGAGTAGAGTAGAGTAGAGTAGAGTAGAGTAGAGTAGAGTAATAGAGTACAGTAGAGTAGAGCAGAATAATACAGTAGATTAAATAGAGTACAATAGATTAGAGTAATAGAGTACAGTAGAGGAGAGGAGAGTAGATGAATAGAGTAGAGTAGAGTAGAGTAGAGTAGAGTAGAGTAGAGTAGAGTAGAGTAGAGTAGAGTAAAGTAGAAGAGTAGAGTAGAATAGAATAATAGAATAGAGTAGAGTAGAGTAGAGTAGAGTAGAAGAATAGAATAGAATAGAATAGAATAGAATAGAATAGAATAGAATAGAATAGAATATATGGAAGGAATGGAATGGAATGGAATGGAATAGAATAGAATAGAATAGAATAGAATAGAATAGAATAGAATAGAATAGAATAGAATAGAATAGAATATATGGAAGGAATGGAATGGAATGGAATGGAATGGAATGGAATGGAATAGAATAGAATAGAATAGAATAGAATAGAATAGAATAGAATGGAATAGAATAGAATAGAAGGAATGGAATGGAATGGAATGGAATGGAATGGAATAGAATAGAATAGAATAGAATAGAATAGAATAGAATAGAATAGAATAGATGGAAGGAATGGAATGGAATGGAATGGAATGGAATGGAATGGAATAGAATAGAATAGAATAGAATAGAATAGAATAGAATAGAATAGAATATATGGAAGGAATGGAATGGAATGGAATGGAATGGAATGGAATGGAATGGAATGGAATAGAATAGGATTCAGAATAGAATAGAATAGAATAGAATAGAATAGAATAGAATAGAATAGAATAGAATAGAATAGAATAGAATAGAATATATGGAAGGAATGGAATGGAATGGAATGGAATGGCATAGAATAGAATAGAATAGAATAGAATAGAATAGAATAGAATAGAATAGAATAGAATAGAATATATGGAAGGAATGGAATGGAATGGAATGGAATGGAATGGAATGGAATGGAATGGAATAGAATAGAATAGAATAGAATAGAATAGAATAGAATAGAATAGAATAGAATAGAATAGAATTCTTTATTGGCCAAGTGTGATTGGACACACAAGGAATCTGTCTTTGGTGCATAGGCTCTCAGTGTGCATAAAAGAAAAAAAACATTCATCAAGAATCATAAGATAATCATAAGATAAGAATCATAAGATAATCATAAGATAAGAATCATAAGATACACCACTTAGTAATAGTCATAGGTTACTAATAAGCAATCAAACCATAAAGACCAAATTGGTTGTCTTGTGGGATCAAACCTGAGTCACCATGTCGTGTGAACCCAACTCTGATTAGGTTTCGGGGAAGTTCTGGGCGGACTTGATAGGTCAAACTCAGCTACAGACGGATTGTGTTGCGAGATAAAACTTAGGTCAGCCTGTTGTGTGAATCCACCTCTAACTTGGAGTGACTTTTGGGGATATCCTGGGTAGTCTTGATCGTTGACGTTCAGCTACAGATCAGACTGAGTGTGTTGTGGGCTCAAACCTGGGTCAGCATGTGGTGGGAACCCAACTTGAACTGGGAGTGGGTTTTAGGGAATGATCTGGAAGGCCTTGACAGGTTCAGCAGATGTTGATTCTCAGAGGTTGCAGAAGAGGAGAACGTTCTTCTCCATCTTCCTGTTTGGTTGGGCTGGGACACCCCAAGCTCACCACCTTCCTGCTGTTGTGGATAACACAGGTGTGGGTGGTTGCAACAGGCGTCAATCTCCGATCTCAGAAGATCGAACCAGGATGGGCGGCTTTCAGCTCAAGAGAGGAAACCAGCAGGAAATCGAAGTGACGACAACCACCTCCTCGATGAAGGAAAACCACTTCCATCTTCTGAAGAACTTCTCCTCCGCTTCTTGAGAATCGGTCTTTCTGGGCTCATGTGATTGCGGAGAGAGAGAGTTGGTGGAGGAGGCTTTGCCTTGGACATCTTTCTATCTTCGAGGTCTCTCTGGTTCTCCCCTCAGGCATGAAAGCCAACTGGGTGACTTTGGGCCAATCACCAAGAGGGAGATCTAGTATCTCCTTAAGCATGAAAGCCAACTGGGTGACTTTGGGCAAATCACCAGGAGACGGGGAGTTCTAGTATCTCCTTAGGCATGAAAGCCAGTTGGGTGACTTTGGGCCAATCACCAGGAGACGGTGAGTTCTAGTGCAACCTCAGGCATGAAAGCCAACTGGGTGACTTTGGGCCAATCACCAGGAGACGGTGAGTTTTTCTGGTTTCATGGTAGGGTGAGAAGTCCAGGAGGCTGCAGGGAAGGGCTGGGAAAGGGACAGCTAGACCTTCAAGGAAGCTTCTGTCCACCTCGTCCCCAAAGCAGTGCAAGGACAGCCCCAGACAGTTCCCAAACGTCTCCAAGTTCCCTTCTCCTTCAAAAGGGAACTTGTAACCAACCATGGTCAGGCAAGGAGAAGCAGGAGGAGAAAAGCAGAAGTGAAATGGAGGGTCTCCTTCCTCTCTGCAGTGGGGTGGGGGTGGGGTTGGTGCCCATTCTCCTTCTTCTTCTCCGTGGGGTTTTGGTAGGTAACCTACTCAACCTTCCCAGCTCCATGGACAAAGCTTTTGGCCAGCCCTCCACCTGCTCTTCTGCTCTGTCTGGGAAGAAGACTCTTCCCAGAATTCCCGGCCAGCATGCGGTAGGGAATTCTGGATTTCTCTTCCCAAATACACCCAGGGAGGAAGTTTTGGAAAATAAACATCAAACAATTGTAAGTGCTCTTGTTCATGTCCATTTTCCTTCCTTCCCTTTGTTCCATCTCTTTCTCCTTCTTTCCGTCTCTCCTTCTCTCTCCACTTCCTTCTCTTCTTCCTTCCCTCTCTCCCTTTATTCCTCTCCCTCCCTCCTTCATTCTTCCTCCTTCTTCAATCCTCTTCATCCTCCCATCTCCTTCCTTCCTCCCTCCTTCTCCTTCCTTCATTCTTCCCACTCTCCTTCTCCTTCCCTCCTCTTCTTTCTTCCTTCCTTCTTTCTCCCTCCTCCCTTCTTTCCTGTCTCCCTCTTTGTCCCTTTCTCTGCTCCCTCCCTCCCTTTCTCCTTCCTTCATTCTTCCCACTCTCCTTCTCCTTCCTTCCTCTTCCTTTCTTCTTCCTCCCTGTTTCCACCCTTCCTTCTTTCTCCTTCCTATTCTCCTTCCTTCCTCTTTCTTCTTTCTCCCTTCCTTCTTTCCTCCTTTCTCCTTCTCTCTTCTTATTCTCCCCCTCCTTCCCTCCATCTTTCTTCCTTCCTCCCTTCCTCTTTTCTTCATCGTCCTGCCTCCTTTTCTCTACTTTCTTCCTCCATTCTTCTTCCTCCCTCCTTCCATTCTTCCTTCTTTCTCCTTCCTCCTCTCCTTCCTTCCTCCTTCCTTTCCTCCTTTCCCCTTCTCTCTCTTATTCTCTCCTTCCCTCCATCTTTCTCCTTCCTTCCTACTTTCCTCCTTCCCTTTTCTTCATCGTCCTACCTCCCTTTCTCTTCTTTCTTCCTCTGTTCTTCTTCCTCCCTCCTTCCACCCTTCCTTCTTTCTTGTTCTTACTCTCCTTCCTTCCTCTTTCTTCTTTCTCCCTTCCTTCTTTCCTCCTTTCTCCTTCTCTCTCTTCTTATTCTCTCCATCCTTCCCTCCATCTTTCTCCTTCCTTCCTTCCTTTCTCTCCCTCCCTCTCTTTCCTTCATCGTCCTGCCTCCCGCTCTCCTTCTTCTTCCCCTCCTCCCTTCTGCCTTCCATTTGTTTTCATTACGCATTTTATTCTCCCAGCTCCTTGGAGGCCAGAGATAACTTTTTGGAGATGGTGTCATCTTTATAAATAACCGCTGAATTTCCCAATCGTTCAAAAGTGCAAAGATTTCCTGGAAATCTTTTTGCTCTTCGTCCTGACCATCCTTTCTCTGCAACCGAACAAGTGTGTTCCCCGAACCCGAGGAGGGAATTTTTTGCTGACTTGCTCAAATCCTTCACCTCTATGCAAAGTTTTCATTGGGGGGGGTCATGGGGAGGGGGAGGGTTAAACCACCCTCTAATAGGAAGCTTGAAAAAAGAAAAAACAGCCTTCCATGCTTCCCGTATCAAATTTCTCCTTTTCCACAAAATGATGAAGGCTGTGTTTGCGAGTTAGTGTCTTAACAGATTAACAGAGTTGGGAGGGACCTTGGAGGTCATCTAATCCAGCCCCCTGCTCAAGCAGGAGGCCCTACACCATTTCTGAGAGATGGTAGTCCAGTCTCTTCTTGAAAGCTTCCAGTGATGAAGCTCCCACAACTTCTGAAGGCAACTTCTGTTCCATGGGTTGATTGTTTCTCACCGTCAGAAAATTTCTCCTTATTTCCAGGTTGAATCTCCCCTTGATCAGCTTCCATCCATTGTTCCTTGTCTGGCCTTCGGGTGCCTTGGAAAACAGCTTCAGACCCCCTTCCTCCTCTCTGGGGCAGCCCCTCAAATATTGGAAGATGCTCTTCACTAGAGTAGCCATGTCTTCTGTCCAACTATGATTTACTCAGATTTCTTTCTTTCTTTCTTTCTTTCTTTCTTTCTTTCTTTCTTTCTTTCTTTCTTTCTTTCTTTCTTTCTCTTTGGAAAACAGCTTGACCCCCTTCCTCCTCTCTGGGGCAGCCCCTCAAATATTGGAAAATGCTCTCCTGTCTCCCCTGGTCCTTCTCTTCACTAGAGTAGCCATGTCTTCTGTCCCACTATGATTCATTCAGATTTCTTTCTTTCTTTCTTTCTTTCTTTCTTTCTTTCTTCTTTCTTTCTTTCTTTCTTTCTTTCTTTCTCTCTCTCTCTCTCTCTCTCTCTTTCTTTTTCTTTCTTTCTTTCTTCTTTCTTTCTCTCTCTCTTTCTTTCTCTCTTTCTTTCTTCTTTCTCTTTCTTTCTTTCTTTCTTTCTTTCTTTCTTTCTTTCTTTCTTGTGCTTTGGAAAACAGCATGACTCCCTCCTCTCTATGGCAGCCTCTCAAATATTGGAATATTGCTTTATGTCTCCCCTGGTCCTTCTCTTCACTAGACTAGCCATGTCTTCTGTCCAACTATGATTCACTCAGATTTCTTTCTTTCTTTCTTTCTTTCTTTCTTTCTTTCTTTCTTCTTCTTTCTTTCTTTCTTTCTTTCTTTCTTTCTCTCTCTCTCTCTTTCTTTCTTTCTTTCTCTTTCTTTCTTTCTTTCTTTCTTGTGCTTTGGAAAACAGCTTGGCCCCCTCCTCTCTATGGCAGCCCCTCAAATATTGGAAGATGCTATCCTGTGCCAGTGTGGGGATCAAAACTGGATCTTCTCTCACCCAACATCATTAGAACAGAAGAGAGTTGGAAGGGACCCTGGAGGTCTTCTAGTCCAACCACTTCATCAAGCAGGAGACCCTAAATCATTCCAGACAAATGAGGGTCCAATCTCTTCTCAAAAACCTCCAGTCATCTCTGCAGAGACGGCAGCTGCGCTCTGCCCATGCTCTGAGGCCCTACTGAGAACTTCGCCCTTACTAAGCAGAAACAAAGCCCGCAGACTAGGTGCACAGGTAGCCCTCGACTTACGACAATTGTGCCCAAACATTTCCGTCGCTAAAGCGCGACAGTGGTTAAGTGAGTTTGGTCCCATTTTACGACCTTTCTGGCCACCGCTGTTAAGCGAATCTGGATTCCCCGCTGAGTTTGCCTGTCAGAAGGGGATCACATGACCTCACAGGACACTATGACCGTCATAACTATGAATCAGCTGACATGCGTCTGAATTTTGATCACATGACCCTGGGGAGGCTGCAGAATTCCCTTTTTTCTGCTATAACTTCACTCACTAAGCAAAAGGTTGTAAGTCGAGGACTACCTGTTCTTGGAGGGCAGAAAACCAGGGCTGAAAAAAAGTCCAAGAGGAGGACATATTTTCAGGGCACTATGAACAAGTGACCATGGAGATGCCACAACAGTCTTAAGTGTGAATAACTTTTTTTTCAGTGTCATAACTTTCAACAGTCACTAAACAAACAGTTCTAAGTCAAGGACTACCTGTATGTATTACACAGCTACCCCGAAACTTTACCAGCTCAGTTAAACCTCGTGGGACAGAAATTTAAAAGTGAATTTAAACACGCTTGGGATAAACGTGTGTCTATCATCTCACCAAAAATTAAAAAATAGATAGATACACGGTGGGGGGAGAGAGATGATAGATGGATAATATATATATATATGCATGTCTTCGCAGCCCTGAGTATTCGGAGAGGGGCGGCATACAAATTGAATTAATAAATAATTGAATTAATAAATATAGATAATGATAGATAGATAAACAGACAGATGAGATAGATAGATGGTATATATGTATGAATGTATAGACTAGATAAAGATAGATAGACAGTAGATAGATAGATAGATAGATAGATAGATAGATAGATAGATAGATAGATAGATATTTAGGTGGGTAGAAAAGATAGAGAGAAATGGATGATAGAGAGAGAGAGGAGGGAGAGAGAGAGAAATGGATCATAGGTAGAGACAGGGATAGAGGTAGAGAGAAGTAGAGACAGAGGTAGAGACAAAGAGACAGAGAAATGGATGAGAGAAAGAGAGAGAAAAGGAGGGAAGGAGAGAGAGATAAATGGATGAGAGGTAGAGAGAGGGATAGAGATAGAGAGACAGAGAGAGAGACAGATACACAGAGAGAGAGAGAGAAAGGAAGGAAGGAAGGAAGGAAGGAAGGAAGAAAGAAAGAAAGAAAGAAAGAAAGAAAGAAAGAAAGAAAGAAAGAAGGAAAGAGAAAGCTGGATCTTTTTCTGCCGTGGGTTTTCTCCGTTTCCATGTTTGTCTCGGGAGCAGAAAACGGTCAGAAGAAGGGACGGTGCGAAAACATCTGCAGCAGCTGGGAGAGGCCGGGTTGGGTTTCGGGCTGGGCGTGAGGAACAAACGGTTCTTCCTCCCAGCCAGTTGGCTTTACAGGGAGAAAAAAAAAAACCTCGCGGGAGGAGCAGGGAGCGAATGGCGCTTGCCCGCCCTGTCTGACGGGTCAGGGAAGAGGCTGGCTTGACCTGCCGTTTGCAACCCATCTAGACCATATAGAGGCATGATGGAGCTGGGCCAGTTCCTGAAGCCACAAGAGAGGGAAAGAAGGAAGGAAGGAAGGAAGGAAAGAAAAGAAGGAAGGAAGGAAGGAAGGAAGGAAGGAAGGAAGGAAGGAAGGAAGGAAGGAGAGAGAGAGAAGAAAAAGAAAGAGAAAGAGAGAAAGAAAGAAAGAAAGAAAGAAAGAAAGAAAGAAAGAAAGAAAGGAAGGAAGGGAGGGAAGGAGGGAGGAAAGAGAGAAAGAAAAAGAGAGAAAGAAAGAAAGAAAGAAAGAAAGGGAGGGAGGGAGAGAGGGAAGAGAGAGAGAAGAAAAAGAAAGAAAGAGAAAGAGAGAAAGAAAGAGAGAAAGAGGGAAAGGAAGGGAGGGAGGGAGGAAAGAGAGAGAGAGAAGAAAAAGAGAGAAAGAAAGAAAGAGGGAAAGGAAGGAAGGGAGGGAGGGAGGAAAGAGAGAGAGAGAGAGAAAGAGAGAGAGAAAGAAAGAAAGAAAGAAAGAAAGAAAGAAAAAGAAAGAAAGAAGAAAGAAAGAAAGAAAGAAAGAAAGAAAGAGGGAAAGGAGGGAGGGAGGACAGCAGCATCGAAAGAAAAACCGTTCCAATTCTCGGGATCAAATCCCACCCAAATCCTTCCTTCCCACAGTTGGGGGGGGGGCTTCGCATTGCCAAAGGCCACAGTTGGGGAGCAAACTTCCTCCCCAAACAGGCCCTCTGCGTCTGACCCTCGAGACTTTTGCACCGGTGGGTTTTTTGCCCATGCAAAGCACTCCCCCCTCCCCCAAATTCTGCACTTCCTCTCTGGGAATTTGGGGGGAGGGGGCGGCTTTGCACGAGCAAAAGCCCACCGGAGGAAAAAAAAAGTCTCTCGAGCGGCCAAGATTTTAGGAGGAGATTTGCTCCCCAACGGAGCAAAAAAATTCCCACGGAGGAAATGAATACAGCGTTTGGGGGAGGGAGGCAGCTGGGACAGCCCTTGCCCCCCCCTCCCCAAAAGCCTGGATAAGCCCCCTCCCCACCCCAAACGGGCTTCAAGACCCACTTTCTGAATTCGTGGCACTGCCATCCCATTGCAATTCGCCCGTGTTTGGGACGGAGGGACGGCAAGCAAGACAGCCAGAGGCTGGATTTGGCCCCCGGGGGTCTAAGGGGTTGACAGTCAGGGAGGGGACCCCCAAATTTCGAACTCCCTGCCGCTGTGGGGGCGGGGGGAGAGGCCATAAAATCCTGGGGAAGTGGAAGGAGAAGCCTTTCTAGAGATGTCCCTCCAAAGTTTCTTCTCAAGTTGGGAAGGTCCTTTCTGGGACTTTGGGGGTGGGGTGGGGGCGAGCGGGGCGGGGTCGGGTGTTTGTTGGAAAGGGGTCCTTGGTCCCACTCAGCTCGGGCAAGGAGCCCTGGCCGTCTCTCCAGCGCGACCCCTTCCCCAAAAATACCCCCAAACCCTTCTCCGGGGCTGCTTAAGAGTTGCTGAGAGTCAAGGCTCTTTTTTTTTGAGGGGGGGGGTCGTCGATCCAAAAGGGCAAAGCTAGGAAAGCCCACCAACACCCCCCCCCCCACCGCTTGGGCGGTGGGCGCGGCAGCGGCTGTGCACCATGGGCTTTTGGAAGTTTCCCCGAAAGTGGAAGAAGGGCGGCTTGCTTTCTTCGGCTGCCCCCTTCGGCAATTCCTTCTTCCCGAGCCAGGCTCCAAGACCCCCCCCCCGATAGAGCTGGGCAGCAGCCCCCTCCCCTCCCTCCCCAGCGCTCCCAAGGGAAGCCCCCCCCCCCCGACCGACCTGCAGCCTCGGCGGCTCCGGCGCGAAGCGGTCCCAGCAGCAGCAGCAGCAGCAGCAGCAGCGCCGGCCCGGCCAGCAGCGGGCGGCGTCCGGCGGGCAGATCCCGGAGCGGCGGCCGGCCAGCCATCCCCGGAGCTCCTCCGCCCCTGCCCGGCCGCCTCGCCGCTGCCCGGCCGTAACCAGAACCACATGGCTGGCCAGCCCCGGGCCACGCCCCCCGGCCCCGGCCCCCGCCAGGCCCCGCCCTTCGCACCCCCCCCCCCCGCTTGGGTCCCTGGGCGCCGCGCGATGCCCCGGGACGGAGGGGAGGAGGGGGAGTTTAGAAGGAAGAGAGAGAGAGAGAAGTCTGGATAGAAAGAGAGAGAGAGAACGAGGGAGGGAGGGAGGGATATGAGAGAGGGAGGGAGGGATATGAGAGGGAGGAATATGAGAGGGAGGGAGGGATCTGAGAGAGGGAGGGATACAAGAGAGAGGGAGGGAGGGAGGGATATGAGAGAGGGAGGGAGGGATATGAGAGAGGGAGGGTTATGAGAAGGAGAGGGAGGGAGGAATATGAGAGAGGGAGGGATAGAGAGAGAGGGAGGGAGGGATCTGAGAGAGGGAGGGATACAAGAGAGAGGGAGGGAGGGATATGAGAGAGGGAGGGTTATGAGAAGGAGAGGGAGGGAGGAATATGAGAGAGGGAGGGATAGAGAGAGAGGGAGGGAAGGAGGGATATGAGAGAGGGAAGGAGGGATATGAGAGGGAGGGAGGGATATGAGAGAGGGAGGGTTGGAGAGAGGGAGGGAGGGATATGAGAGAGGGAGGGTTATGAGAAGGAGAGGGAGGGAGGAATATGAGAGAGGGAGGGATAGAGAGAGAGGGAGGGAAGGAGGGATATGAGAGAGGGAAGGAGGGATATGAGAGGGAGGGAGGGATATGAGAGAGGGAGGGTTGGAGAGAGGGAGGGAGGGATATGAGAGAGGGAGGGTTGGAGAGAGGGAGGGAGGAATATGAGAGAGGGAGGGATAGAGAGAGAGGGAGGGATATGAGAGAGAGGGAGGGAAGGAGGGTTGGAGAGAGGGAGGAGGGATATGAGAGAGGGAGGGATATGAGAGAGGGAGGGATATGAGAAGGAGAGGGAGGGAGGAATATGAGAGAGGGAGGGATAGAGAGAGGGAGGGAAGGAGGGATATGAGAGAGGGAAGGAGGGATATGAGAGGGAGGGAGGGATACAAGAGAGAGGGAGGGAGGGATATGAGAGAGGGAGGGTTGGAGAGAGGGAGGGAGGGATATGAGAAGGAAGGAAGGATGGATATGAGAGGGAGGGAGGGATATGAGAGATGGGAGGGATAGAGAGAGAGGGAGGGAAGGAGGGATATGAGAGAGAAGAGAAATAGTTCTATACTATTTTAGAAGATAGAGATAGGCAGGCAGGCATGGGTGGGTAGAAGAAGACAGGGATGGGGGAGGGAGGGAGAGAGATGATAGGTAGGATAAACATAGAGATGGATGAATGTGCATGGGGTAAGCAAGGCAGTTATTAAGTGAGTCACGCCCCATTTGACGACCTTTTTGCCACCGTCATTAAGTGAATCCCTGCCATGGGTAGTGACACGGCTGCGAAGTGAACCTGGCTGCCCCCTTGGCTTGGCTCGTCAGAAGGTCGCAAAAGGCCGCGACCGTCGCTAAGTCCATGCCCGTGGCCCCGTGTCTGCTTTTTTTGATCATGTGACCCTGGGGGAGGCTGCCCACGGTCATAAATGTGGAACAACGGGTCCTAAGTTCACTTTTCCCGGGGGACGTTCGAACTTCGGTCACTAAACGAGCCTGTTGTAGGTCGAGGACGATCTATATTGCAGGGCTGAGTGGTGGAAATCCGTTTTTTTTTTTTTTGCCCCAACATGGATTTGATTGAGACATATAAGAAAGAGAAAATAATAGGAGTAAAATATGTGTAAACATAGTCAGAATTCTTGGTGGGTGATTCAGTGCCGACATGGGATGAGCAGGCTGCACGATGGCCTCTTGGCTTGTTTGACGGATTGATGAATAAATGTGAAAAAATGCTTGGGGTTTGATTGTTTTTTTTTAATATAAATTTTATTTGTACATTTTTCTTTGACATAAATGACTGAATCCCCCAGCTGCTGGCTGGGGGATTCTGGGAGTTGAAGTCCACCCATCTTCAAGCTACCAAGGTTGAGAAACACTGTGTTAATCTCTGCTCTTGTGGGTATTTTATTTCTGGCCAGGAAGTGCAGTGATCTTTTAGCTTTTGGATTGTCTCTTTTGAATGGTGTGTAAATGTGGTCCATCTCTATGTGCCCGTTGATGGCCGTTTTGTCTGAGTGCTGCTGGCTGGGGGATTCTGGGAGTTGAAGTCCACCCATCTTCAAACTACCAAGGTTGAGAAACACTGTGTTAATCTCTGCTCTTGTGGGTATTTTATTTCTGGCCAGGAAGTGCAGTGATCTTTTAGCTTTTGGATTGTCTCTTTTGAATGGTGTGTAAATGTGGTCCATCTCTATGTGCCCGTTGATGGCCGTTTTGTCTGAGTGCCGCTGGCTGGGGGATTCTGGGAGTTGAAGTCCCCCCATCTTCAAGCTACCAAGGTTGAGAAACACTGTGTTAATCTCTGCTCTTGTGGGTATTTTATTTCTGGCCAGGAAGTGCAGTGATCTTTTAGCTTTTGGATTGTCTCTTTTGAATGGTGTGTAAATGTGGTCCATCTCTATGTGCCCGTTGATGGCCGTTTTGTCTGAGTGCCGCTGGCTGGGGGATTCTGGGAGTTGAAGTCCACCCATCTTCAAGCTACCAAGGTTGAGAAACACTGTGTTAATCTCTGCTCTTGTGGGTATTTTATTTCTGGCCAGGAAGTGCAGTGATCTTTTAGCTTTTGGATTGTCTCTTTTGAATGGTGTGTAAGTGTGGTCCATCTCTATGTGCCCGTTGATGGCCGTTTTGTCTGAGTGCCACTGGCTGGGGGATTCTGGGAGTTGAAGTCCACCCATCTTCAAGCTATCAAGGTTGAGAAACAGTGTATTGTCTGGGTCAATTTACTTATACATAATATAATAGTAACAATATTTACTTATATATAGTTGTATTCTTCCAACTTCTAATTTCTACCTTTATTATCTAACCATTCGTAAAACTAATCCCAGGTTAAAAAAAAAAATTCTATATCTTCTTTTATCTTTAACGTTAACTTATCCAATTTCCGCACAATCTTAATATTTTATTTTTTTAAATTACGTTTTCATCTGTAGGAATTTCCTCATTTTTTCCAATATTGTGCAAATACAATTCTCGCTGCTGTCAACGCATGGAATATTAAATATACTTATTTTTGTCTTATTTATTTATTTATTTATTTATTTAAATTTATATACCGCCCTTCTCCCGAAGGACTCAAGGCGGTGGACAGCCGGAATTAAGAGACATATAATATAAAAGTTAAAAATAACTAAAATAAATTAAATCGATCGGCCTCCCAATTTAAAACCCCACATCTATACAATTTAAAACACTAACCCATAAACCTTTTAGGCCGTCTTGGTAAAATAAAAAAGTCTTCAGGGTCTTACGGAAAGTACGGAGGTCCCATATTTTTCTGGTAATATACCTAACAGAAATATTTCTGGCTTTAGATCTATAGGTTGCTTGGAGTTTGATTTTTGTTGGCTTTGGGAGGGGGATTAAAGCCCCCCATAATTCTCTTTGCGCATTGATGGCGTGTCATTATCCGGAAACACAAACAATTGGCGAGGACTGTTAGTCTGAAGAGGTTTTTATTTAATTTATTTATTTATTTGATTTGATTTGTATACCGCCTTTCTCCAGCAGGACTCAGGGCGGTGAACAGCCGAGATAAAACAGAGCATACCAAATTTAAATAAAAACAGTTTAAAAGGTAATTAAATAATTTTGGCCCACAATTTAAAACAACCCAATTAAAACCAATTTGAAATTAAAACCGAAACGGATGGGATCAACTTTTAAGCGAAGTTTTAATGGTTTTTAACACTTAATATTGATTTTATCTGTTTTTATTGCTGTGAAGCCGCCCTGAGTCCTTTCCGGAGAGAGGGCGGCATATAAGCTAAATAAATAAATAAATAAATAAATAAATAAATAAATAAATAAATAAATAAATAAATAAATAGTAAAACTCTAGGTTGCTCCAAGGAATCGGATCTAAAAATTCATATTTTGGGACTGGAATTGCTGTCGTTAAACAAGGATTGTTAACATGAGTTGCATCCAATTTGTGTGGTCTTTTTGCCACGGTGGTTAAATGAATCAGGAGGTTGTTAAGCGAATCGGGCTACCCTTTTGGAAACCGGCTGGGAAGGTCATCAATTTTATTTATTTATTTATTTATTTAATTTGTGTACCGCCCTTCTCCCAGAGGGGACTCAGGGCGGTGAACAGCCAAAATTAAAAAACATACAAATACAAAGGTTAAGATAATTAAAAAAGAATTAAATCATTAGCTTCCCAATTTAAAACCCCCAAATCCATAAAATTTAAATGGGAATCGCATGAAGGTGGGATGTTGCAAACCGCCTGAATTTGGCTCATGCGACCATGGAGATGTTGCAGAGGTCATAAGTGCGAGGACCAGTCGTAATCCGTGAGTGCCCGCCGTTGTAACTTTGAACAATTACTAAATGAATAGTTGTAACTATAGGAGGGCTGCCTATAAGGAGGAATTTCCTGACAGTGAGGACAATTAGCCGGTGGAACAGCTTGCCACCAGAAGTTGTGGGTGCTCCCTCACTGGGAGTTTTCAAGAAGAGACTGGACAGCCATTTGTCTGAAATGGTAGAGGATTGTCCTGCTTGAGCAGAGGGCTGGACTAGAAGACCTCCGAGGTCCCTTCCAGCCCAATTCTTATGTTTTTGAATAAGTCTTCACCCTGTGTTCTCCAAACCACCCAAAGTCAGGAAAATAAAGCAAAGGATGGAAACTCATCAAGGAGAGAAGCAACCTGGAATTAAGGAGAAACTTCCTAACAGCGAGGACAATTAACCAGTGGAACAGCTGGCCACCTGAAATCGTGAGTGCTCCAACACTGGAGGTTTTTAAGAAGAAATCGGGCAGCCGTTTGGTTGGGAATGATAACAGTGTTTTCTGCTTGAGCAG